TTTTTTAATAAGGTTTTAATATAATTTAACCAAGTTTTACTTTTACCATTTAGACGTCTATCTAAACTCTTGATTTCTTTCAGCAACCTTAGATCAGATTTACCATGATATTCCTTGATCCTTAGTTCTGGAAATTCAGTCTTGAAAGCATGAATAATTCCTTGTAAATCTTTTCTAAGATGGCAAATAAGTGATGTACTTTTAGAATTCTCAAAAGGTAATACATAAGAAAGTCTGCTTGGCCCAATCCCAGAGTTCGACTAATATAGATTCTTTATTAAGAGCTAGGCAGAATGTTTTACCTTTCTGAGGCTGGTAAGTGTTATGAATAATTGAAAATGGTTTATCCTTGCGAAGAGCTTTAATCTATTCAATATTAAGATTGGTAAGATCATTATCCATAATTAGTGTTTTGCATAGATCAGATCAGATCAGATTTAGGCAAAATCCGATTTGATTCGAATTTGAAAAATCTGAATCTGATTCGATCTGAATTTGAAAAATCTGAATCTGACAAATCTGAATTTGAATCCATATCCATATCTAAAAATCCATATCTGACAAATCTTAATCTGAATCTGAAGGATCAAAAAATTTTTTAGGTTTTTAAATGCCTACGACGTTCAGAACATCATTTATGTTTAAAAAAATATTATTATTATTTTTTAAACAATAATGCATCTCCGATGTTCGAAATAGCATTATATTGAAAAAAAACAATATAATTATTGTTTTTTCAACAATAATGTGTCTCTGATGTTCGGAACAGCATTTTACTGTTTAAAAAACAATATTATTATTTATTCAACAAATATGCGTATTTGAATTCAAACTACATATAACTTTTAAAAAACAAAAAAATTATTGTTTTTTTAACAATTTTACGTCTTTGACGTTTGGAATAACGTTATATTGTAAAAAAAATATAATTATTGTTTTTTTTTAACTATTTTACGCCTTCAATGCGTTATATTGTAAAAAATAAACAAAAATATTGTTTTTTAACAATATTGCGTATTCGAATCGTTCAGAATGGTATTTTTGTTAAAAAAAAATATTTTTATTGTTTTTTCAACAATAATGCGCATCCAAAAATTTCAGAACGGCATTTTTGTTAAAAAAATAATATTCTTATTGTTTTTCAACAATAATGTGCATCCGAAACGTTTGGAATGACATTTTGTTAAAAAATCAATATTCTTATTGTTTGTTTCAATAATTATGCGCATCCGAAACGTTCAGAATGACATTTTGTTGAAAAAATCAATAAATTTATTGTTTTTTTCAACAATAATGCGCATACAAACGTTCGGAATAGCATCATATTGTTATAAAAAACAATATAATTATTTTTTTAACTATTTTACGCCTCCGACGCATTATATTGTAAAAAACAAAAAAAATGTTTTTTAACAATATTGTGTACAAGAATTGTTCAGGACGGTATTTTTGTTGAAAAAAACAATATTTTTATTGTTTTTTAACAATATTACGCATCTGAATCGTCAGAACGGCATTTTTGTTGAAAAAACAATATTTTTATTGTTTTCAACAATAATGCGCATCTGAAATGGCATTTTTGTTAAAAAAAACAATATTCTTATTGTTTTTCAACATTAATGCACATCTGAAACGTTCGGAATGACATTTTGTTGAAAAATCAATAAATTTATTGTTTTTTTCAACAATAATGCGCATATAAATATTCAGGACTACGTATAACTGTTAAAAATACAAAAAAATATATATATATTTTTTAACAATTTTACGCCTTTGATGTTCAGAATAACATTATAATTATTTGTTTTTTTAACAACTTTACGCCTTTGACGTTCGGAATAGCGTTATATTGTAAAAAAACAATATAATTATTGTTTTTTTTAATAATTTTACGCCTCTAACGTTAGGAATGGTGTTATATTGTAAAAAACAAAAAAAAATATTGTTTTTTCAACAATATTGCGTATACAAACATTCGGAACTACGTATTACTGTTAAAAAATCAAAAAAAATATTATTTTATAACAATTTTACGCCTCTGATCTTTGGAATAGCGTTGTTTTAAAAAAAAATACTATTGTTTTTAATAATGAAATCTGCCTCTGATTTTCGAGATGGATTTTCTAATTAAAAAAATAAAGTTTATTATTTTTTTAATAATAAAATCCGTTCTGAAAGT